CACTCACACACACTCTCTCACACACACACACACACACACACACACACACACACACACTCTCACTCACACTGACCTGTATTTGCCGGTTCTGACCTGAAGACCCTTCATCCCGCAGCGCTGAGCTCCACCGACATCATTGAGCAGATCATCACCAATCATCACAACCTGACACACACACATCAAATCAAATCAACAAATATTCAATTAATGTATGTATGTGTGTGTGTGTGTGTGTATGTGTGTGTGTGTGTGTGTATGTGTGTGTGAGAGTGTGTGTGTGTGTGTGTGTACTACTCATACTGCACAACATATAGTGCATACTGCATACTTAGTGTTTATGCGAGGGTTGTTTTATATTTTTATACATTGTGTTTATTTATTTGTCTGATCAAATAATGAGTCAAGAATGATGACAGCTGACTTTACTTTCATTCAGCACACTGAACACTGTGGGATACTCTGTACAGAATAGCATACTAAATCACATCATGTCTCACATCATATAAAGATATAGCAGAAATAGAACGACTAGTTTCCCAATTCAGCCAAGGGACGTATACTTAAGATTTTGGCTAATGTAGTATGCATACAGAAAGTTAGCATACTATGAACAGTATGTAGAGAGCGCACTAAGTATGGTAGTATGCAACCATTTCGAATCTGTTCGATCTGTTATGCAAGACTCTTGTCAATACATGGTCAACTGTATTGAAATTCATATATTATTATATGTTGTTATTATTATGCAAAGCAATGAAAGTGTCCTGCCCTTCTCCAGATCCGTGTATGGCCTGTCCTCCTCCCTCTCAGAACTCCACACGTGTCTCAAATCCCTGCTTTCACACTCTTCAGCCACTCCACACTGCTGCCTGCGGCCATGCTGCTGACGCGACTGCGCACGCGCGGCGCAGGGGCTTCTGGGAAATGAAGTTCAGCCGCTTAATGCTGGAAGCGCGCGCAGATGCTGCTGACCAAAGATCAAATTAAATTAAATACACAAGGATGTTTTTCGTATGTGTTCGATGATGATAATAATAATAATACTTTAAATTGCTTTACTGTCTGCCAAATTAATAAATGATTACTGCGTAGAATACAGCGACAATGTATTTTAGACAATATTTGGCCAAAATTATATCAGGGGAGATGAATAACTAGTGTCGCGTCACACTTTGAGTCTGTTCACACACTCAGTCACTTCAGATTAATCACTTACCGTCGCAATAAAACTATTACAGTATCAGAATGTTTTTACATTTATGCAGAAAAGGTTAACCATTCACAGCGCTGACGCCGCTTGCGTCATGACGCAGCGTGACGTGTGTGCGTGCGCTTGAATAATCCGTCTAGAGGCAGCGTGAGACTCGCCGGAGGAGCAGAGCAGACTCGGACCCGCAGCAGGTAACGCACACAGAGACACACACATACGGGTCTCACACACACCGCGCGGTTGTTCATAATGCAGCGAGGGCTGATGAATATCCATGATCACGAGCATGTTAATGAGGCGCAGCAGATAGGAAGAGGAAGAGGGTTAGACTGATGAAGGTGAGGAAGATGCAGATTCGGTGGGAGTTTATTCAGTGAAATTCAGTTACTTCATGTTAGTAATATTTACATTTATTTAAATTGTTACTTTATTGGTAACTTCTCTTGACTGCTGTGTAACTATTCATTTTAAAAACCTGTGTGTGTGTGTGTGTGTGTGTGTGTGTGTGTGTGTGTGTGTGTGTGTGT